ACAGCACTGAACTTCAGGATAGATCTTGAAATGTTCTTTTTGACAATGAATGCAAAACCATTCCTCTTCAATTTGTCATTTCTGGCACATTAGACCATATGATTATCCAATTCAGAATGGCCAATACCCACATATTTCAGCTCACTAATGCTTAGTATATCACTCTTCAAGTGTTCTATTTCATTTGACAGCTCCAATTTTTCTAGATTTATACTTCGTACATTTCACGATCCGATTATTAATGGATGTATGCAGCTATTTCTTCTCATTTTGAGTCATGCCACATCAGTAAATGATGGTCCCCTAAAGCTCGATTCCATCCATGTCACGAAGGTCGACTCTGCTTTGAGGGGGCAGCTCTTCCCCAGTCATATCTGGAGTGCCTTCCAACACAAGAAGCTCATCTTCTGGCACTATATCAGACATCATTCCGCTGCTATTTATAAAGTTTTCACTGACCAATTTTTTCAAGCAGATCAGGTCCTTCTTCCCAGTCTGTCTTAGTCTAGAAGCTCCGCTGAAACCCGTCTACCATAGGTACCCTGCTGGCATTTGAAATACCTGTGGCATAGCTTCCAGCATCACAGTAACACACAAGCCACCATGGTACAACAAACTGACAGATGAGTAGTGGAGTAACTGTATAGCACATATTAGTGCATACTCAACTCAAACTTCAGTAGAGCTGTCAGTAGTAAATCAAATGGTAAGAAATTGTTATGGCAGATCTCAACTCATAACAGTTCATAAATAGTAAGTATAATCATAAATTATAATCAAACAACGCATTGCTTTGGGCAAATCTGCGGCAAACGACCTCTTTAAAGGGTTAAAAAGCAAAGATGTCACTTTGAAGACTAAGGTGCACCTAACCCAAGCCATGGTGTTTTCAATCACCCATATGTACACGAAAGCTGGACAATGAATAAGGAAGAACGAAGAAAAATTGATGCCTCTAAATTATAGTATTGGCAAAGGGTATTGAATATACCATGGACTGCCAAAAGAATGAACAAATCTGTCTTGGAAGCCGTACAGCCAAAATACTCCTTAGATAAAAGGATGGCGAGACTACGTCTCACACGCTCTGGACATGTTATCAGAAGGGATCAGTCCCTGGAGAAGGACATCATGCTTGGTAAAGTAGAGGGTCAGCGTCACAGAGGAAGACCCTCAGCAAGATACACTGACACAATGGCTGCAACAACAGGCTCAAGTATACCAACAATTGTGAGGATGGCACAGGATGGTGCAGTGTTTCGTCGTGTTGTACACAGGGTCGCTATGAGGCGGAACTGACTCAACAGCACCTAACAACAACAACAATAGCTTAGATGTCCACTAAGCAGTTAAATATGTTTCATAAAAGGAGGGGATCAGTGTTTGACATGGAAATCTAAGAGTCATCAGTGTATCGATGGTATTTAGAATCTTTAAATTGTCACCGAGAGAGCAAATCTACAC